CCTTCCTAATTCTGGGCTCTGATGATCAGACTCCATCCTCAGCTGTAGCTCTGGGACTCATGGGTGTGAATCAGGGCTCCTCATCTCCAGGGTGGGTTTGGTCTGTGCCACCAGTGCTTGGCCATAACAAGAGGTGAACACGTTGGCAGCTTGTGCTCTGCTTTGCCTCTTTCATTCATGTTGAGTGGCCCTTGGTGGGTCACCCTGAGGTTATTGACAGTGTTTGTTGAGTTCCCAGGAGGTTGATAGTCATCTGCATATGGGGATAGAATTTGTCTTATGGATTTAAGACATATATTTCTTACATGTCATATATATGTCTTACATGTCTATGTTTAAGATGTCCCGCTGGTTTTAATGGATGAAGCTCAATGAACAGTTACAAGGCTTGTAGGCAAACTCCAAATCAAATTTCACCATCCAACTGTAGGTGACATGGAGTGAGGGGTGGTCCATACAGAGTGGAAGTGAGCTCAGAATGTATCTTGCTGAATTCAGATGCCCAACCATGCACATGCTGGGCCAGTTCTGCTCTCATTTATGCCAGAGCAATTTCTTGTGTGAGAACTGAATTTATGCCATTGGGATTCAAATATTGAAAAAGAAATATTTTGAAAGTTACAGTCTTGTCTTTTCCCCTTTGCCACCACATCTCCATGCAAAAATAATTATTCAAAGCATCAGTACAGAATCTAAGATACCACAGGGAATCAGCAATGTACCTATTTTCTATTGCCATGCAGAATTAGAGTGCAGTACATAAAGGGAGAACGTAGATAGCTGTAAAATTTGAGCATGATATTGAACATGGTTTCTTCATGTTGCAGAATTGCTCACAGATAAACCATCATTTTGGGTTTTTTTCTAGGCAAGGTATTTTTGTGGCCCAAAAAACTGTTTCTTCCTATACATATTAACAAAAGAATGGTTTTCTTCCATAAAATACTGGTAGAGCAGATGTCAATTTATGTCCATGTCAGCTGGTTTTCTTCTCCATTACCCTTTCTGCTGGATCTTTGCTTATCTAGCAGGTCCTGTCTTCTTGACATCCAGTGTCACATCGAATGTGTTTTCACATTTGGTGATAGAAAGCTTGACTCAGTCTTTCTCAAAAATTGGCGTCGTCATCCGCATCATGGTCATTATGTATTATTGATAGTGATGGGAAAGTCACGAATACACACATCTTTGCTGCAGGGACTTAGCCTTTTTCTTTGGTTCATCACTGCTTTATCTTCTCTCTGCATTTTAGTAATAATGCCAACAGAGACATTTCTTGCTGCCTTCACCACGAAAGGGTAGCAGCGTCCTGGCCCTGGTGCTGCAGCTGCAGCTACATCTTTTTTCCTGATGTAGTTTGAGTGGAGTTACGCAGTTTTCTACTTTATCACAGAACTCTAGAAAGCATTTCAGTCATCAAAAAGCTATTTTCTAGGGGAATCCTAGCTCTTACTGATGCAGAATTGAGAATAAACTCTTGTACAGAAAGTACTTTGAAGTTAATAAATAATCAGTGCATATTCCCCCACTTTTACAATGTAACTCATAAAATTGGGAAAATAGCATTAAAAAGAAATCCTCCTACTCTATTGTGTAGTCAGAGAATAACTTTCTAATATAAATATGGAAATTAATTCATGAAAAATATCACTTATATACTAGCAACATAAACACCAATAGTGATATAAACAAACAGTGGAAAACATAGTAATCTTTGAATAGGATCCCAGCTTGCCCTTGTATCAGTTCTGTGAGACACATTTGTGTGGAGGCTGCCAGCCAAGCCTAGTCCAGGATACTGCAGTTTTTTCCAGCTCCATTTAAACTTGCCACTTGCTGTAGCAGTCACGAAGAACCATTCTTTGGAGGGATCCTAGACTGCTTAACAAATCAACCTGGAGCCTGTACCCAGAGTTCGTGTCTTCTGCCATAAAATGAAAATACTTCTGGAGTGAAACAGGATAATTGCTTAATAGCAAATACTTTTATAAAATATGCAGAGCAGAGCAGGAGTGATGCGGAGAGGGCTTTATGGAACATGAGTGCATTTGTCTTCAGCTTTCTGCTTCATGCCAAGGAAAACTCTCCAAGTCCATTGTACTACGGTATGTACAATCAAAATCTGCCCTCGATACTTCAATGGCTCAGGACTGATTCAGAAGGAGAAAATAAAAAGCATTGTGTTGATTGAATGAACTAAGTGCAGCTTCCAGCAAGGCACAGCATTTTTTGTTATGATCAGTAAGAAAAAGAAATCCCTTTAATTTACTGTGTGTGTTGTGTTGGAACCCTCTCAAAACAGGCATGATTGCAAACCTGACAGTATCCTCTAATGCTTCCATGACCAAGACTGTCCCTCAAGACAGGTTCTTGGGGATGTTCTGCCTCTTTTATAACTTGCCAGGTCTCCCTTGGTGAAGATGAGGGGAGGAAGCCTTTGGAGAGTTTCTGAGGAGATCTTTGACTTTGTGACACCCTCTATCCCCTGAAAACAGCCCAGAATTAGGACTGTAATGGCACACTGCATAGCTCATCCCTCTTCCTCTGGCATTTGAAGAGGCGAGATGATTATGAAGATGGTTAATAGATGGAAAAGGAGGATTGTTTCATTCTTTACCTTGCCTGCTTTTGCTGCAGTTTAGTCATAATAATGAGAATTTTTGATAAGTGAGCTTCGGACTGAGTCACTGGGGTGTCTTGAGTGAGTAAATAGATTTTGGTATTAGTCTGAGGAGCTAAGCAGAGCAATCATGTGCTGCTCTCGGAAGCTGGCAGGCAGAAAGGGGGAGGTAAGCGCCTCTGGAGAGGGAAAAGTGTCCTTGGCTGTCATTCTTACCAACTTTGGGGAGTCACCTTGAAATGCCTTGGGTCAGCTGGTGTCAGACGAGGTGTCCAAACAACCTCCACGCTCACTGAAGCCCATGGGAGGTGCAGCCACCCAACAGTCGGAGGGCCAATATGCCTCATGGTGGGACTTGGGAGTGGGGATACCTGAAGCAGTGACCGACTGGGGTTGTGTTCTCAAGCAGTATTCGCGGCAGAGCATGTGGGAGGGGGAAGTCCAAGGCGCAGAGCCAGACGTTATCTCCTGGACCCTGCTGGTTCTTGTGATAGTCTTTTGCTCGTTATACACAGAGACACAAGGGTAAGAGACTTTGAAATGGGTTTGTTGGTGCATATCATCACAATTCACATTTTGAATTCAGGAATAGGAAAATATTATCTTTGAGACACAAGGTAATTGCTGACATAGTCATTTTTATTTTTGTTTTTACTTCAGTTAGAAAAATCCTGGAAACCGTGAGTACAGAATAATGATATTATGCACTTTTTCATGTCATGATGGAGCCAATAAAAGGCAGCCATTGAGAATAATGTCCCGACAGCCAAAGCACTTCATCAATCTCAGCTGCTGCTTCTATGAACATATTATGTAATGATGGGTGTTCTTCTACAAAAAAAATATGAAGGTCTCTCTCTCCTTCCCCTAAATATCACCAGGGGAAGCCATTAACTCTACTCTAGTGTTAATCTATTCTATCATGATGATGTATCCATTAATGGATATCATATATCCATTAAATCTTCCACCCTCACACAGAAAGAAGTAGCAATAGTTCATTGTTAAAAAGACAAAATGATGGTTTTGGGTTTTTTTGGGTAACTGATTATATATTTGTCTGACTTCTCCAGGAGGCCAGACTCCACATGCTGAGGCTCCTTTATCTAAGCAGTTCAGAACTTCTTTTCGTTGCCATTGAAGACATAACTGGCTTCTCACTTTCAGACTAGCCAAAGATCAGCCCTTGCCAGACTTAACCCTTTATTCCTGACTGAAACATGAGCCATCACTGCATGGATTTGAGAGCAAGTCAGGGAATGTGCATTCCTTCAATTAGTAGCCCATCACAAGTTGGAAAGCAAATGAAAGCTGCAGACAGGTCTTGTCTCACAGGACAGAGTGAGGAAAGCAAGTACTGGGCTTCTGGCAGCAGTAAAGTGGCATGTTCAGTGATAAAAGTGACTGCTGTAGTGTAGAGGAAAAATCCATAATATTCTTGATAAAATGAATAATATAGTCCATATCTCCATGGGCTGTCATTTCAGCTTTTTTCTGCAGGTTATGCATATATTTACACTCAAGTCATACATGCAAAGTTACCTTTACTCAGAAGCATATACACTTTCAGCATAAAAATTGAGATTGTGGAACACAGTTCAGCAACAAGGGGTAAATTCCCATGTATATCAAACCATACAGTGAACAGGGTACTTAAGGAACCTTGTGTAGGTGCTGTGAATATTGTAGGTTGGGGTGCTGGAATGGAGTTCTTTGAAGGAAAGCCTAAAAAAGGCTACCTAGCTGTCAGCACGTCTTTGAAATGAGAAACAAATATACAAAAGGGCCTCTATGATGGCATACAAATATTTCCAAAAATAGTTGCAATCCCTGCTTAGCCAGTCAATGGGCCAGTCAGTGCATGGAAGTTCCAGCAGCAGGCTGAATCCTGGGCTTACTGTAAATCAACCTCGTCTGCCAGGAAACAAGACCTTCCTGTCATCTACACACATTTTTAGAAAGAATATGAAGCCACTACACAATTCATAATATTTAATTTTGCTGAGTTGTTATTAGTTGTATTTTTTATATGATTCCCCTACTTCCCTGCTAATTTGCATGTCTATTAATAAGATTAAATTTTTATTCAAAATCCCATAGAGAAAATAGCAAGTTTGTTAGCAACCCATACAGGAGATTATGTAGGACCTGAAACCCAGAGTCTTTATAAGAGCTTCTGTGCCTTTCCACTGCTTTTACCTTATCATTTCTGACTTAAAAGGCTATTGTTATGACTGCAAGACTGCCAAGTTGTAATGCATGATTTATTATGTACAGCAGGTGACTGGTAGTTAACATTTATCTCAAAATGAATGTTATTGTTTGTTGTTGCTTTTTTTTTCCTGCAGCTTTCCCTGGGAGGTTCGTGTTTTTGTCAGTGACAAGATGACAATTCATATTTTTACCAAAAGACCCAGTGAGTCATCCTATTAACTCTGGTGAAATACATGCTTGCCAATTGTCCTGCCACGGTAAGTCTGTGGGAATTTGCATTCTCTCTGGAAATGGTATTCAGCAGTTACTCCATAGTACGCATTTGGTAGTACAAATAGTTTTTGCCTAAAGCAGTAATTTCTCAGTGATGACCACAGCCCCAAATAGACCAAATATTGCATATCACACCTGGGTTTTTTTTAAGTTACTAAAGTATTTTAGAGCAAATGGGAAGACTGACTGTGCCTCATATGATGCTATTTACAAGGGCTTGGTTTGTTTGAACCTGAATGCTGTGTAAGAAGGAACCTTGTATGTTGTGGGCACTGATAAAAAGGCATAATATATCTGGCCTTGAAAATGTTGCCCTGGGAGGGGATCCACATGCAGCTAAGAATGAGTGTACCATGAGTCATGATGAAAAAAATTCGACATCCAGAAACCCCCAAATCTCCAGGATGACATAACATGGATTATGTATTCGTACCGGTTGCCCAAGTTGAATTGTTATTCTGTCCCTCCTGAGAACTCCCAGCTCATGGAGCCAATATCCTGTAACGTTCCAGTAGAGGTGAAGGCCACTCGATTCCTTTTCCCAGCTTTGTGCTATAGGAGAGTACGGCTGCTCTTGGGTCGCATTGCTCTGCAAATTGTTTCATTTGGGAGAAGGGGCAGTGCGGGCTGGTACATGGCTGTTGCTTTTCCCTGTTCCTTGGGTTGGGTTGGAGGAAAGGTAGGACACATTTTTGTTGACAAAGTCTCTCCTCCTTTCCTGCTTACTTGTTCTGCCCTTGAAGGTGATATTCTGTGGTATAGTCCAAGCAAACTGCTTTCTGCTTAAGTGTATTTTGCACATCGTGCAACCTTATCTCACAGGAGAAGAGCATATGGCCTTGAGTTATTATTTGTTATTTCAGGGTAACTAGATGGCAACTGTACTGAAAACTTATGGCAACCCATGCGTTATCTCATATAACAGGATAAATAAACACTATCTTCACTGCATGCATTAACATTAATGGAAGGAAAAACTCATGAAAAACACTGTCAAACCAGTTTAAATATGTCCCCATTTAGGATGCCCCAGATGCTTTACTGCTTCTACTTGTCTCATACGCTTTTAAATTATGACTGGGACTCCTTCCGCATTTGGCATTCTTGCCTTCAGAGCCAATGCCAGCTGCAGTCCTTAAGTCAGTGAGCATGCAAAGTATTTTAAAATGTCCAGCTTAATAGAATGAATGAAAAGAAAGCTTTAGCAAGATATCATGGACATCATTAGTGGTGCATATAATGTGTGTGCAGGAAAACTGATACAGAGATCTAAGGGGAGAATTGCAGTAGTTCCTTTGAGCATCTCGGGGGTAACTCCCGAAAGCAAAGCTACTACGGCAGCTGACAAGACATTTTGCTCGATCTGTAAAAGATCCCTTTGCAACCGATTTCAGGTGCAAACAAGGTAAAAACAACTGGAGCATTAAAATATTCCATGTGATTGTTGTAAACCAGACAAATAGGGGAGCAGTTAAAAGCAAAGGGAAGAGAACAGAGCTAACACAGCTGCACAAAAACTATTTCAGATATATTCTGCTTCAGAATGCCAGCACATTGCAAACCCTTTGAAAATACACTGAAACAACATTATAGAGTATATAAAAAGAGAATCTTAAACAGTTTATTGGTGAAATATGAGCTAAATTTGATGATACTGTCCTCTAGACTGTAAGCATCTCTTTCTATGAAAGTTGTGTGGCACATGAAAGCTATTACTAGTGCGGCAGATTTTTTTGATTCAGATGTAAAGTCAGATCTGCTTTTATTTTTTTGATGAAGCCGGTGTATGGCGGAGTGCTAAGAGGTGCTAAACTAAAAACCCAAACTCATAGTTCTTTGGTCCAAGCCCTGCTGAAGAAAATTAGAACCTCTAATTTCAATATAAAAGTAAATAATAAAAATTAGCAAAAGTGTGTTTAATGATCCCGCAGTAACTAAACATTTTTCCACGTGGCAACCACTTCATCGGCTGAAGGTGACCACTCAAAGACAAGTAGGAACTTGACTCAGGGAATTATTTTTCTAACCTTAAAATAAGGACAATATATCACAAAATTTGACTAGGCCTGATCCATCTTATTCTGTGCTTCTCTAGCCAGCATATGTGAAAGAAAACATCCTGAAAACTACTTTTCCTCATTGCTTTATCTGGTAGAGATCTGGCAGGATTCAGGGTCCATTGCAGTTCATAGTAACATTTTAAATCCCATAAATAAATAAGAAAAATCAATAGGAGAGAGTCTCAATAAGTTACGAATACTGATGAAGTGAGGAAATCCCCCCTCTTTTCAATACACAGTTTCAAAGGCTATTTGTTCCTTTCACTGCCATGGTGCTGGTGTTTATGCTGCTTTCCATTTGCTGATGTACAGACTTTAAGATAGGAAAACACTGAACATGAAACACATGAAATGCTTTTAGGTATTCATGTGGAAGAAGTTACAGAAACTGAATTCTTTGTCAGGGTGCAGCAGGGCAGCCCTAGGGAAGGCTGGGACTGTGGGTGCCGGTGAGTAAGAGCTCTCAAAGTCTGTGTCACGTATACGGTCACCCTAAATGGCATAATATGGCAGCTAGCAAAGGGGCAGTGAGATACAGCTGCCTCCAGGGATCATCCTCCACTGCAAACATCACCAGTTTCCAAAGAATGAAGTGATTTTTCCAGCCTCTTTCCCCATTAACCGACCCAACCCCAGCACTTGCTTGTGTTCGGCTTCACCTGGCTGCTGTGGTCACGTGCAGTGAGTTGCCTTCCCTTCATCCCTTGAGCTCTCTTGTTTTACACAATGCTTTGATTAATTATAGCCTCAATATTGCTGCTGATTTATTGTAACTGAAGCTTACTTGCATTAATAATAACTCCTGAAGTTAGCCCGAGCACCTTGGTAAATAAATTTGCCACTGTTTTAAGAAATAAGCTTCCTAATGACCATAAAATTGCCTGGAAATTGTTCTTGTTGCTGGAGAAGATTAAGGAAAAGAACAGGAGGAAGTCCTTCTAGGAAAACATAGGGTTATGGGCTGGGTTGCAAATTGGAAGCAAATTAGTAAATAATTTTTAAAAAGTTTATTTAGGTCTATCTGTAAATTAGGTATATTCTTGACAACTTAATTCCTGGTTTTCCTGGAACATTTTCCTTCCTTGTCAGAGTTGAAGGCATTATTTCAGAACAGAATACTTAGTATTTATCGTAAGACATTTCTCAGACATTAATGTTGAGGCTGTGAACTCACAAAGCATCACTGGATTCTCCAGGAATCACTGTAGAGAAACAACATTGTGAGGTATGACTCTTCAACACCGAAGAGATATTTACTGACATTACCTTTTCCTGTAATTTTTAAAACTTAGTATATTGCAATAAGATCTAAAATAATAATAATTAAAAAAGTAGCAATAAAGGAAGGATTTCTAAGCTTATCTAGGGGAACTTACATCTTCTGACTTTCAAAAAGTGTTTGAAGAGGGTCCCTCTGCTAAAAAAGGGGATTGAATTTCAACATTCCCTTCTCTAAGCCCTTTCTTTCACATCACAGCATTAACCTTGAAAAGCTCTCTCAAAGTTTTGCAATATCAGACAAATCACATAGTGAAAGCTACTGCTCACACAACAGTTCTGACAACTATAAGCTAGCTAGCAGATCGTTAGAGCTGGTCCACCATAATCTGACATATCAATAACACAGGTGACAAACACGGCCCCAAAAAAGTTTATACAGAAACGTCTCCTCCCAACCTTCTCTCTCCACCTGGTGTTGAGCTACTTCCAAAATTCACAGTGGCTTTCTGTGACAGCTGGTTTTTGCAGTAAACATGTAGTGGGATGTTGTAAAGGCTATGAAGGAAGGATAGAAGTGTTTTGTAAGAATCGCTTGTGGTAATAAAGAAATAAGCATGGAATCATAATGATGAAAAGCTAATGGTAAAGTTGCAAGCATGTAAAATAGGCAGTGCTATGGATGGCAATTTCTCTCCCTTTCAGTTCAAATATCACCTTTTCTAAATGCCTGCAGGATTGTGTGCATTTCTGAGTATGTATGCAAGCGTAGATATATTGGCATGTTATGTATACGGAGTTATATGCTACATAATCGATACCAGGAATCAATACCATGGTTGTGCCAGAACTATAGGACTGCATCCAAGACCTTCACACCGTCAATTCAGTGGCAATTAAACTCCCAACTTTGATCCTGATGTAGCCAACTTTTAAAGCATGCGTTTGACTTCAAACATGTGGTTAGTTCCATTTTTTTACTAATGAGGCCAGAAAGGTGCTTGGAGTTACGTATGCTCTTGATTAGCTTACTTGGGAGCTGAAACTGTAGTAGAAGCATGTGTAAAATAGCTTTGTAGTATTCCCAAGCCATTTGTCAGTTCACAAGTTACTTGAAATTACAAAAATATTCCAGAATGGAATCTGAAGGCGAGGGGAGGAAAATATATGACAACGTACATAAGTAGTCACTACTGATTAATAAACAGTGGTCTAGACTTTTTGGTTGTGTTGTTACTCAGTATGGTTTTACTTATTTTTTATTCTTGAGCTTTAGCTGAAAAAAGTATGTTTTAGCCATCTGTCTGCAGAAACTTTTCTTGATGTTTCACTAGTACGTTTGCAGTGTTGGCAGATACGCGAAAGTCACTTCTTTCACCCGGCTGGTGGCTCACGGAGCCCTTTCGGACCTGAACACCACCTGAGTTTCTCATCTCCACTCACTTTGCTTGAGTCCCTCCAAATCGCAGCTTTGCATCAGCCCAGCTGGGAGACACAGCTTGGTCTGGGCAGCAGTCCTGATTGCTGCCTTCTCAGACACAGCCATCTACCTACAAGGGATTTCATAGTTTTTCTGTGGAAAATAGGTTATGAAGTTCAGTGTCATGGTGTAATTCCCATCCTGTTTGTAGGCAGTATTAAGGAACACAGTGGTCTTTATTTCTGTGTTCTTTTTAGGTACACAGGTGGTGTTTTAACAGCGATGATCTAAACCTCCTTGCTATGTTACAAATTCTTTATTGCAATTACTTTAAAATTATTTTTAGTTTCCCTGAATTCTCTCCAAAATAAACTTGCACAAACCCAACAGAAATATTCTTAAAACAAGCCTTAGCTAACACATGCAATGTTAAAGGAGAAAGCAAAATTATAATGTTTGTGCAGAAAAAAGAAATTTCTTTCAGTAATCAAAAAGTTGCTTTCAGTATCTGTACCTCCATCTGCAAACTGGCTAAACAGCAGCTTCCCATGGGTTGGGGATATCCACATCTGACTCAGGAGAGTAAAGAAATGCCCCAAATAACTGTATTGACTACAGAATTTTTGCTGTCTTGAGTGATGAAGAAAGGCCCCGCTGTGTCCATAAATGTTCTCTTCCTTCACCTGTAGCTCAGAGCAGCAAACACAGCTTCAAACAACGCACCGAGGCAGCGCGGCCAAGCACTGGGGTTGATCAGAGAGTTATCAGTAAATCACAATATCTGCCTGTGAGTTATCATGCGATTTATGAAAGAGTATTGAAAAATGGTATGATAGGATTCAGCAATAAACCTTTCTGATTAACCGAAGCATTGCCTACCCAAAAGAACTGAGGAAGCATAAGCAGGAAAGAGGGGACACAGCATAAAAAGGTGCCCATGGATTCTGGAAGTTTTTTAGCCTTCTGAACTGTTTCTGTTTGGTAACACTGACATTGATGTCAGGAGACAGTAAGATGAAGATTTGCATCTTTCACTACACCGTGAACACCTAATGTCCAACAATGATTTTCTTTGTCGTGGTTCCTTAGATACACTTCTTATTTACTTGCTGTAATCACAGCTGGTTATATAATTGTAAGATTGTGTTTAATTATATTCATAGTACACATAAAGAAAATTAAAAAAAAATAAAGCATTCAGATTCCCATTACAAAAATTAAATTCAAGTTTGCATATGATCAATTAGAAACATTTAAAACCCAATATTATAGGGTTTGCACCTTTTCTTCCCCTCATTGTAAAATGTAAATAAATTATCCATGGTAACGTCTATCTGATTGCTAAATATGATGATATGAAGGCAAGATATGATTTTAAACTGACGAATTCCAGAGCCTGAGCTTTATCCCATGTATTCTGTAGATACTTCTTTACAGGCTTTCTTGAGAAGGTTTAGAGTATCACTGCAGACTGGAAGGGGTTTTCTTATTGGTTCTGCAAGCCCCAGCTTGCAGCATTGCTTCGTTAATGTAGGATCACAGTTAATGGCATAGAAGGAAAAGATTTTGCCTCAGAAATACAGTGGAAACAGCTTAACAATTGACGGATATCCAGTTCTTAAATCATAACGAGCGGTATTAGAGGATGCATGCCTATAGATGGTCCATAGAGACTCAAGTACATGCAAGGCAGTGGCTAAGTCCATGCAAGTATGCAAGTCACTGAAGACAGAGGGAGATTTCTAGGCAGGGCAGAAAGAAGAAATTTGCTCATTTTGCTCATTTTAGCTCTTTACAGTGACATTTATTTGGAGTTTCGTTATAAACACCAAGTATTTCATGTTATTAACCTTTGAGGAGTTTTAAATGAAGTCTATATGGTTTACTGCATTTACTTTGAGTCATGGGTTATACAATAACACAATGGTTTCTCAGCAGGATTAAAACCCGAGTACATTAAAATTCAATTAAAAGCCTGTGACAAGTGCAGTGGTTGACTCAGACCATTGACTGAGATTGTGTCTCTGTAAAATGAGCATTGTCACAGCACCAAGGAAGGAAGATATATGTTTGTTATAACCGACTGAAATGTCAGGCTCTCTTGTATTTGAGCAAGTTCTAACATTTGTCTCTCAATTTGTGTTTCTCCCTAGTTAGCCAACTGACATCACGATGACTGAAGACTTAGACCACAGATTCAGCAGTCTCACCTGGGATCAGATTAAAATCCTGGATCAAGTCTTAGCTGAGGTCACTCCTATTCATGGGAGAGGAAATTTCCCAACACTGGATGTAAAGCCGAAGGATATCATTCACGTGGTAAAGGAACAGCTCATCGAAAAGCAAATCAATGTTAGAGATATCCGCCTGAACGGTTCGACAGCCAGTCACATCCTAGTGAAGCAGAACGGAACCAGTTACAAGGACCTAGACATCATTTTTGGGGTGGAACTTCCAAGCGAGCTCGAGTTCCAGGTGGTTAAGGAAGCAGTTCTTAATTGCCTGTTGGACTTCTTGCCAAAATGTGTTAATAAGGAAAGAATCACTGCTCAGACTATGAAAGATGCCTACGTGCAGAAGATGGTCAAAGTCTCCACCGACCATGATCGCTGGAGTCTCATCTCACTGTCAAACAACAGCGGCAAGAATGTAGAATTGAAGTTCGTCAACTCACTCAGACGGCAGTTTGAGTTTAGCGTGGACTCCTTCCAGATCATACTGGACTCCATACTAGGCGTTTACAGAGCAACAGACTGCAAACTGACAGAAGACTCTCACCCCACTGTCATCGCCGAGAGTATGTATGGAGACTTCAACGAAGCAATGGACCACTTAAAATACAAACTGATTTCCACAAGGAACCCAGAGGAAATCAGAGGAGGTGGCCTCCTGAAGTACAGTAATCTCCTGGTTCGTGACTTTAAGCCAGCAGATGAGGCTGAAATTAAATCTCTGGAACGTTACATGTGCTCCAGGTTCTTCATTGATTTTCCAGATGTTGCTGAGCAGCAAAGGAAAATTGAGTCATATCTGCGAAACCATTTCATTGGGGAAGAGAAAAGCAAGTATGACTACTTGATGACTCTGCGTGGCGTTGTGAATGAGAGCACCGTCTGTCTCATGGGACACGAGCGAAGACAAACTCTGAATATGATCACAATTCTGGCTTTAAAAGTACTCGGAGAACAAAATATCATCCCAAATGCAGCCAATGTAACATGCTATTATCAGCCTGCTCCATATATCAGTGACAGAAACTTCAGCAATTACTACATTGCTCACGGACAACCACCTATCATCTACCAGCCGTACCCATTTCACCTACAAATGCAAAGTGGCATGGTTTAGGAACGTGAGAACCTCCTCAGCACTTACACTCCTCTCTCTTTCCAGTTCTTTCCGTAATAAAGGCCTCATTAAAGCACGTTTGATCATCACTTTTGATTTAAGGACTATTTTTGTGCAAGTTGCCAAAGTTATTTGGTTGTTCAATGTCTAAATCACCATTAAGCAGATTGTAAAATAAGTGAAACGGCTATCATTCTCAAACTATTTATTCCCCTACATGCGTTTGGGCTATACTTTTTTTTTCAATGAGAAGAGAAGGGTATAAATTATTCTAATTTTATAAAATGAAATGCACTAAGTTCTGTGTTCTAAAAAATTCTTAAGCAAAATTTAAATAGTGTAAATGAAAAACTAAGCCAATAAAATACCTCTCCGTAGAAATGCCTGATTTTAGAAGTGATAGTGTTGTGGGTACGTTAAAGTAGATCATCCATCCGATAGATCACCCATGCAGTTCCAGAAACATTTATTTGCAGCACCTTTTGAAAGTATGTGTTGATGGGGTGTCTCTTGGTGGTTTGAGCTCTGATCGCTCTTCAGTTCCAGTTTGAGAGGTGGGGTCCCTCTCCTCACCAGAGTGCTGTTTAGTGATGGGTAGCAGGAAACATCCCTTCCAAGAGCAGACTCAGCATTTTTGCGTATCCAGAATTTCCACTGATCCGAGTGAGAGCTCTGGCTGCTTAAGTAATGTAGCGTTGGACCCCAGGATCTGCCTCACAGACAATGAAAGTTGTAAGAGACGATACAACTATTCTGATTAAATTGGTCTTGAAAAACAAAGTAATAGGATGAGAAAGAAGGTGAAAATTGAGCACATAGGGCTTGCTTTCTATTGCTAATTTGTTATTGATCCGAGATGCTTTAACGTATAATAAATGGAGTCAGGAAAAACCCAAAAAGCCCAGGACTGCATTGGTTTTAGGCGAACTAAAACAAATCCTTGGCAGTGGCATTTGAAAAAATGCTTTATACTAGCAATGTCCTGTATATGTTTAGATCCCTGCACACATACACTAGTAGCAAATAAAGATTTCTCTTATGATCAGGAAGTAAAACATTAGTTACAAGTTTTTGTGTGTGTGAGTGTTTACCAAAGAGAAGTTTTAAACATGTCACATAAGTGCCTCCCTGTGCCAGTTGCTCCATGAAGGCTGTAGTGCTGTTGGCAGGCATGCTAGGGAGCTCCTGAATTACAGAAAGGGAAACGTACACCCTCGGTACTCCACTGATGGGTCGCAATGTGTTCGCAGCACTGAAGGTCAGAGGGGTGTGCGTGAGCAGGTCTGGGGGAGACGGAGCTAAGGTATTCTCACCAAAACTCCTCCAGTTTAGATGCTGAATATGGTACGAGAAGGAACAGCACGCAAAGGAGATGTAGAACAGGTGCGGTTGTAAAATGGGAACAGCCAACTGGAAATGCAAGCGGTAGAGTTTCTTACATCTGACACTTAACATGTCACTGTGTCGTACTACAAGTTCATTGCTGGTACATCACCGTCTGTCCGCATCCTCCTCGTGTTTAGAAACTGTATTTTATCTTTTTACAACAGGTGTCAGGGCTTAGAAATTTATTCTACTTGGGAAAGAGGGTTTGATTGATTTTACACAGAACTGTGCTACATACCACTATTTTAAATCAATCATTTCTAAAATTTCTAAGGTCTATGAAGTCCTATTGCCAGTGAAATGTAGCTTTCCTTTTTCCCATTATATGCCTGTACAGTAGAAAAAAGAGCTGTGTAAAGACAACTTGCCGACCATCATCACTATGGTCGACTCTTTTCTGTAAAATACAGTGCAAAAAACAAAGTTTCTGCAACATAAGAAGGGTATACTAATCTACTTGGAAGCTGATCCATTTTGTGATGTCTTTCATTAATATAGTACTGTTATTTTTGCGGATTTTTCAGGTACGTCAAGTTCTGTGCCTAAACCCACACTTCATTTCACTTCCACTAGTATCTTTCCATTGGCTAAACTATATTTAATAAAATCAGCAGTTCTAATTGGGAACTGTCTAAAAATATGTTATGAGATATGATAACACTGTATTTGCATGTAAGCACTTGTAGGGAAGTCCCTGTCAGAAGCAAAGTGGAGTGAAACATTTTCATTTTTTTTCAATTGAACTGTTTAGATTACAAAGGGAACCTTTAAATTTAGTTTGGTATTTGCCAAATTAAATAGCACTGTGAAATTTTGTAAGAGCCTTATGTAGGATATGTCCCCGCTAATGCTTGTGCTTCAACACTCAGCACGTGGGACCTGCAGGTCTGAAGAGCTGAAAGCTGGACTGGGCAGAGCCGGGACTTTCTGATGTGTCTGTGGGAGTTAGGCATCCAAATGCCTTGAGTTTCAGGAGGAACTGGGCTCCTAAACTCTTGAAATTTGTTTGAAAAATCTCAGTCCATCTATATTGGCCTGTGACCTTAATGTAATGTAGCCACATCAACTTATTACTCCTCCACTCCTGGTTTCCTGGCTTGCTGGGTGGAGAAATGGGTTGATCTTCTCAAGAACTGGGAAACAGGTCAGCCAAGAAAGAGCATTTTCAACATGTCATATGTAGCCAATGATCCATCACCTGGAGAAATACTTCAACAAGTTGTTTTTTAACCAACAAGTAGAATCGTGTATCACCCTGTATAAAGGACTATAATTTTTTTGAATCAGACATTGTGAAAAGCATCAGGAATGGTGAACTAGCTCTGGATTTGTATAAACCAGCCTGTCTGCTTGTACAGCAACTGTTATTTAAATATATGTATTTAATTCTGTTACGCCTCTTTTTATGCATCCAGGTTAGATAAGGAAGGACTCAGTCAAAGTCCATGGAGTTAGTGGGAAGAATCCACCTAACTGTAATGGGCTTTGTCCGAGACCCCAGAAAAAAGGACTTACGTGAGTACCTACAGGTAAAGGTACAAAGACATCAATATGCAAAAATGTCTCAGGTATAAATAAACCCTTTAAATTTATTGAAAGTCTTGTATTTCTTACCTAGAGGTAGTTCAGTTTTGAAGGTTTAATTGAGGTTTACGATGTTATGTGTATAAAATCTCACATATCTCCACACACACACACACGCAATTAACGAAATCTGATGGTTTTAAATATTTCCTTCCGAATGTTATCTTGATACCTGGCAGCAGTATTTGACCTGAAGAGTTTTTTTCCAAGGTAATAGTGACTCTGTAAACTAATATTAAAAAGGGGATGATGTATAGACTGCTGCTTGCAAAACATCGATATCAATATGTAAGATGAAATACTGTAACCTCTTCTCCAGTTGTTACTGACTTTACTGTGTGCAGATATAAGTCTACAACGAATTGAGTTTTCTCAGTCCCAGTCTCCTGAGCTTCATGTTTACATTATAATTATATCTTGTTGTTACAATCTGTTCAATAATTATAATACCTGCAAATTGTAACGCTGATTTTATTTAATCACATAAAACTTCTTAAGGTTTACAGCTTAAAGTAATCTAATGTTGTCAGGACCTAAGTGTTAAAGTTTCAAGTGCTTTCCGAAAAAATGTCATTTGAATTTTGTGTTATATTGTAAAAGGTCGATTTGAAGCATATACTTTATGGTAGTTCCTTTAAAATGTAATTTGTGAGCTTTATACTCAACACGTTACAAAGGTTTTTGCAATGGATAAAAGAAATATAAAATTGTCCTCGGTCGAGATGTTATATCGTCTGTTGTGATAACACTGAGCCTGCAGATCTGTGAAGTAATGGATCTGATTTACCAGCGCGTCATTTTGATTTTCTAGCTGTGTAATCTGACTGATGTTAGAGAAGTTATGTCAACATAAATTCGGAGTTACTCAGGTGTGCTTCCACTCTGATTTGTAGAAATGCTTGGAGAAAGGGCAGCAGAGAGAGTTCGGCAGATCAGCATGATTCCTACAGCTCAGTTTTTGTTTGATATGTTTTTCTATTAAACTAAATGAATGGAAAGGTATTCAGGACAAAGCTGTTGCAGATGAAGTATTTCACTCAACGTGCCATCTGAAGCTGTTGAAAAAATATTGTAACGCTCAAAATGTGTACTAATCACACAAATTTGTAGGTCATTAGTCCACAGTGTTGACTAGTGCCTTTGGGTATTTGGGGAGCGATCATTAAAATAATTTTCTTGTTTAACATATGGTTTGCTTCTAATACCTTCGTTATTCTGGTTGGTTGTCAATTCTAGCATGCAGACTTCTAGCAGCCATTCTGGCATTGTACAACTGCAAGAGTGCTAAAGATTCGGTTACGGTTCGTTAGGTCAATAAAGCACCACTGACCCGCTGTCAGACCTACACGGAGAGTTACAGAACGGCTGGATTGAATATCGTGAATGCCTTTGATACGATTGAACGGCTCTGCGCTAGTTGTCAAACAGGCTTGTGTCAAATATTCACATTTTAAGTGCCTAGATATATATTTATATATTGAAAACTGTCTGCTGGGTAAATAAAATTAATACTTAACAAATTATTTGACTCTACATATGCCTAAAAATACATTGTACCTATGCTGAGTGCACGTTCCCATAAATCTAAACACGTATTTATTGAGGCTGTAGAATTTCTGCCAAATATGAACACGGTCAGTGCCAGGGATGTTGCACCAAGGTCAGAGAAACTCCTGCAAACTCTTGAGTTTTCAGTTGGGTGACGTAACCACATCCACCAGTTAGATTTTCTGGTTACTTGGATTTTCTGGTTTTTTGCGGTTTGGGTTTTTTTTGGTTGTGTGGGGTTTTTTTTTCGTGGGCTGGGTTTTGGACTACTGCTTATTAATTCAATCCCATTTTTAAAAAGGACGAGACAATATTGTTCTTTCTTCCGGGGGGTGTCAATACAGTGTCTGCCCCATGGGCCCTCTGGTGCCTTACAGAGGGGGGGAAGGAACGTGCCGGAGGTTTTAGCCCCTTGTGAGAGCTTGGAAATTCCTTGCTTGGGTGCTTATTGCCTTTTGGTCTTTTGCGGTGTTGACGGTGCAGTGAAGAGACTCGCTGCGGTTCCCGTACGGCAAAGATGCCGCCATTTGGTGGAAACAGGGAGGAAAGCAGCCA